AGCTTTGCTGTTTGTGTCCGTCTGAATCAGGGGTTACTCTGGGTCTTAAACACAAGGAACACACACACCAAGGTTCCTAGCCAGGTGGATGCTCTGCGAAGTCAAGGCAAAGAGAGTCTGGCCACACAAAGTCTCTCCACTGGAGAAGGATTTTCACCTGCCAGGCGGTAGGGCCCTCAGCCTCATTAATCCTGCTTAATCCTGCTAGAACATACCTTCAGGGAGCCCACATTCCACCCAGAACATCCCTTGAAGGAGGAGCTTCCCACAGTGCTGCGACTCTGAGCTTCTCAGATTCTGATCAAATGCACCTCAGCCCTGGGATCAGAGCCCCGGCCTTGCCTGCCAGTTTCCCTTTTCACTTCATGAGCATAAGTTGGGGTGGGAACTCAGCCTGTTCATTCACTTAGTAAATACTGGGTTTCCACTCTGTGCCAGGGCCTGACCTGGGCACTGCCAGTTGAGCAGGGAATAGCACAGTCCCTTCCTCCCACCCTGGGCCTTGGAGAATGAATGCAGGACGTGGCCAAGGGTAGTCGTCTGGGCCTTGGTTCTCCCTGCACTAACCTCGCCAGCCTGGCCCAGCCTGCCCTGATCCTCTTGATGGTCCATGCACATGTGTTTACACTTGCATTGTTGACTGGGGTCCAATTGCCTTTTTGGCAAAGGCATCAAGCATTCAAAGATGTTCAGATCTTTTCTGTCTGGCTCTTTTCCTCGGAATGAGGCTCCAGTGTGTCCCTTTAGTCCCTTAGCCATTATCTGAGAGGCTAGAATTCTGGCAGTGTCCCTGTGCATCTTTCCCCAGCGGAGGAGAGAGCTCTCGGAGCAGTGAGCTAGAGAAACCACCCATCCTGGCCGCTGGCAGCAGGGGAGGTGAGATGTTTCTGAACTCCTCTCAGGCTGTCAGATGGCCTTCAGTGGCACCAAGTAGAAAGAGCATACTCCCGCCCCTGACCTGCTCCTCGGCTCCATTGTGAGACCTCAAGCTCCTCAGCTTCCAGAGTCTTCCAACCTAGCGAAAAACCTGAAGTCCCTCCCGGTGCAAGTCCAAGCAGTCCCCAGCCAGGGAGACAAGGTGTTCTCTGACATCCCACACACACCGGCACACTTGGGGGATTGCAAAAGAGAGGAAGGGAGCCAAAGACTGGGGCCCCAGGGTTTAGCAAACTCTCAGCTCCCCTCCCAGAGAGTACCTCCTGTGTGTTCTGGATCTCTAGATGAGCTTGGTTTGGGCCAAGTAGTGCTTCGTTTTAATTTTCTCTTTCTGGAAAGAAATACGTTTAATAAGTGAAGATGCTGCTCAGCTGTCATATCCTACAAGGTTAGACAAAAGATGTGTCGGCTGGGTGCGGTGGGTCATGCCTATAATCCTAGCACTTTGGGAGGCCAAGGCAGGCAGATTACTTGAGCCAGGAGTTTAAGACCAGCCTAGACGATATGGTGAAACCCCATCTCTACCAAAAAAAAATTTTTTTCAGAAATTAGCCGGGTGTGGTGGCTCACTCCTGGAGTCCCAGCTACTTGGGAGGCTGAGGCATGAGAATTGCTTGAGCCTGGGAGGCAGAGGTTGCAGTGAGTCGAGATTGTGCAACCGCACTACAGCCTGAGTGACAGAGTGAAACTCTATCTCAAAAAAAAGAAGAAAAATGTGTTTAGCAAAGGGAGCTAGGGCACTGTTACAGCACCTAGGCATGGGCCTCCACCCTTAGCCAACATCAGGGTTTCCCTAGCTGCCAGCTTCCTGTGTGCTTGGGGCAGCTTCTCCTCTCTGCGAACAGGTTTATAGCCCAGTCTGCAGCCCCAGATTGCTCTGGTCTTCCCAGAACCCCAGTGAGCAGGAGAAAAACACAGAAACTAACATTTAGTGAGCACTGCCGTGGGCCAGGCACCTTGCTGTCTTGTACACTGCCTCTTAATCCTCAGAAGGAGCCACTGAGGTAGATATTATTGTCAACTATTTTCTTGTAAGCCACCTAAAGTTGGCTGGGTGAGGTGGCTTACACCTGTAATCCCAGCACTTTGGGAGGCCAGTGCAAAAGGATCACTTGGGGCCAGGAGTTCAAAACCAGCCTAGGCAGTATAGTAAGATCCCGTCTCTACAAAAATTTAAAAATTAGCCAGGCATAGCGGCATATTCCTATAGTCTCAGCTACACAGGAGGCTGAGACAGGAGTATTGCTTGAGGCCAGAAGGTCAAGGCTGCAGTGAGCTGTGATGGCACCACCGCATTCCAGCCTGGACAATAGAGCAAAACCCTGTCTCAAAAAAAAAAAAAAAAAAAAGTCCTCAGTGTTATCAAGGCTCCACAACTAGCATCAGAGTTCATATCTTACCTATCTCTGCTCATGCCTCTAAACTGCATTCTTCTGTGGCCCTGCTGGAGAAAACTGGGCTGACACCAAGGTACAGACTTTCAAGGGCCCTGGCAAGGCTCCTTCACACCAAAGCAGATTTCCATCTGCAGTCACTGTGGAGCCTTTCCCTTCCTTTAGCTGAGACTTTTTTTTCCCTGCTAACTGGAAATCCCCTGGGACAGGCAGCACTTTAAATGCTTATCAAGCATTTGTGCTTTAGTGGGAGTGAATTTTGAATTTTTTTCTTAAGAGTAGCTTTTGCTGGATCCTAAGGAAAGTCATGATAAAAATAATGGGTTCCTGGGTGGGGAAAGAGTCTGCTGAAAAGAGGAAGAAAGATTGTAGGATGGGAGGCTGGGGCACCAGTGGTGGATTTTACTTTACAGTGTTGTAGAAGGTACTAGATGCCACGATCATTAAGTAAAAGACCATTTTTTCCCCTGCTTCCAGATTTTACAGTTGAAATGAGGAAGGTACAGCTATCTCCATGCAAGGGAGTCTGTTGTCATGCCCTCAGGGCAGGCCAGAGCTAAGCAGACTCTCTGTCCAACTGTCTCTGGCCTTATCGCTGCCATCCAAAAGGCCCATCAGCAAGCAGATTTGTATCTAGCTGTTGTTTATGTGCACCACCAGGGCCCATGTCTGTTTGAATCAACCAGGGTATCCCCAGGTCCTGGCAGAATGCATCCCACTTAATACGTGCTCAATACATGTTTGTAGGAATGAATAGTTTACATTTGAAACAAAAAGACCTGAACCAGGACTCTGGATTCTAGCCTTGCATTGCCACTAGAATGTCCTGCGTCCTTAGGGAAGTCACTTCCCTCTCTGGGCTTCAGGCTCCTCATTTGTGACATGACTGCTGTTTTGTCATTCCAGGGCTATGTTGAATTAATCTAAATCTAAATGTGCAGTGCTAGGGTTGATGGGCTCAGAACACTCTCAGGTCATTGTTGCTGGATGGCAGTGATGGGAACAGCCTGGCTCTGACAGTTTCTGCAAATATGTACTGCCTGACCCTCAGCCTGTAGCATAAGCAGAAGTCAGGATCTAGGGCTATTGGGGGCAGGAGTCTCGGGGAGCAGCCAGGAAGACTGCTTTCTTAGATCAAGGCTTTCATTCATCAGAAAATGCCTTCTAGGAGAGTGATGGTTATGAATGCAGGCTGTGGAGCCAGGCTGCCTGGGTTCCATTCCCACTGTGCTCAACTCTGCCCTTCACCAATGGGTTGACCTTGGCCCGGGTATATAACCTGTGTCCCAGTGACCACCTCAGTATTGTTACCTGATAGTCATGCCTGTCTTGGAGATGAGTGTAGAGAACTCCATTCTTGTAAAGCACACAGTGAGGGCTCTGTGAATGTGAGTTAGTGGTTTTGACTGCTCAGAGCAAGAAGCCCAGAAGCTGGCCCCTGACGTCTACTGCTCTGGCCAGGGAGAGAAGGAAGGACTGGCCTCTAGCTTAGCCTCCGTCTTTGCCTCTTGATACCATTTACTTCCCGTTCCATGCCCACAAGAGACCCATTCTGAGGCCCGTTTTTACAGATAGTGAAGTCTAGGCATTAGAAGAAAGTACTAGATTCCTTAACTTGCAAGTGCAGCCCCAGGTTCAGGACTCACCCATTTGGTTTCAGTGTTGCTGGCTCTCGAGAGTCGCTGTCTGGTTGGGAATGCAGAGAGCCTGCCTGAGTCAGTAGTCATAGTGTCTGTGTTTGATGCATCCCAGTCACAAAGCACAGGAGCTTGCTTGTTCCTGACCCACCCCGAGCCCAGCAGGGGCAGGTGGCCCTGAGAGGAGGGCATGGTAGGAGAGGAGGCGCCCTGCGTGGACCTGGAAAGTAGGAAAAGCAGACAGCCCCCGACTCCAGACCCGCCCTCTCCTCTGCACCCTGCTGCCTCCCTGGATGGGATCCAGTCACATTCTGAGCACCCTGACCACCTCCAGCCTGGGGTGAGGAGGGCACACAGCGAGTGCCTTGCTCCCAGCTGGGAAGAACAGAGCCACGGTGCACTGCCACCTGCCTGGCTGGCCCCTCTGGGAGGGGAGCCTTCTTCCCTCAATCAAACACTTCATTAACTTGGGAACACAGGAATACCATGTCAGGAGCGATCTGTTGGTGCTTGTGTGAACTGGACCCTGTTGTTTTCTGCGGACTGGGGCAGGGTGTAGAGAGAGTTTCAAGAGGCTGGGAGGTTTTTTTCCACCGTACTGTCATTTCTCCATTAATTGAGTTATCTCTCTCATTGCAGGTGGAGAGAGACTTTGAAAGGGAATATGGAAAACTCCAGCAGTGAGTGTCAACCCCGGGAGGCTGAGGTGGGAGGCAGGAGGGATAAGGGCCCCCTGCCAACTCTCGCCTGTCTGCCCACCGCCCTTCCCTGGGCTGCCCCGTGAGCACCCTAGAAGCAGAGGGCAGCTCGGGTCACCAGGCTGCTGGAATCGTTCCCCAGCAGTGACCACACGAGAGTCATTCACTGAAAGCCTTTGGGTGTAGCGGCACTTCAGACAGCAGGAGATGTCCCCATGGGGAAGGACCCCTTCTCCTCCTCCCTGGCAGGCCCTCCAGAGTATCTGGGCTTCCCTCAGTTAGGGAAAGGGAAGGGGGATCCCCAGCAGCCTGTCCCCTGCCTTGCAGGCTGGAAGAGCAGACCCGGAGGCTGCAGAAAGACATGAAGAAGAGCACCGACGCTGACCTGGGTAGGTGGCTTTCCACCCGCAGCACTGGCTGGGCAGGTGAGGCAGAGGTGGGCACCCTCCCTCAGCCCCCCAAGGGCTAACTGACGTCGTTGCACTCAGAGGATGCGTACCCAGTGTCCTGAGAAGCGGCCTAAGGACAGTCACTCCTCACTAGTCAGATCCTACTTCCCACAGAGCTCGCACCACCGCACTTTGGATGTGGGTGCCCAGGCAAGGCTCTCCTGGGATTCTAGTCGGCAGTACTGCAGCTGGTGGAAGCTTCTGGTAGTAGATGTCTCCATTGCCTCAGAATCTGGGCCGCCATCTCAGGCTGTCCAGAGGGAAAGGGAAGCACATTCCCTCCTGCAGAAACAAGACTCCCTGGCCTGCTGGGCTGGGCGCTCCACTGGCAACAGGAATGGAAGCTGTGGTGTGTGGAAACAGGAGGTTGGGTAAAAGTGTAAGGCCAGAAATGCCCCAGATAATTCCGTCATAACAAAGGGCACTGGGAGGTCCATGGGAGGTGGGGGAAACAGCAGGTGCCGGGAAACAGCTCAGGCCCTTGGGGAGGTTTCTTGGCTGGAGAGTTCTTGTTTGAAACAAGGAGGAACAAGGCCCGGGAGCCCAGAGCCACAGGCAGGTCTGGGATAAGGGAGCTTCCAGAGCCCTTGTCACAGTTCACGTCCCAGGAAGGAGGCGACAAGTAGCCGGGAGAGGTGGAGAACTGCTCCTTGAGCTTCTTTCTCCAAGGCCTTGGCTTTTCCACTGCAGAGCAGCGAGCACTTGACCAAAGGTTGATCAGTGGCTTCAGCGCTCCGTGCACATCCCTGGACAGCTGGCTAAGCTCCACCTCAGTTTTCCACCTGGGAAGCAGGCACAGGGAATGCCAGCCCAAGTGACACGGGCTGGTGTTAAAGATGAAGCCACTTGAGCAACGTGAAGCACTGAGAATGGCCTGGCATGGGTCAGCTCTCAGGGGATGTCAGCTCCTGTTGTCACCGTCATCGTCGGCAGCAAGCCTCCCTGACTGGTTTGACCTCCACTGCTCCTTACCTGGGTTCAGTGGGAGTGACATGTCTATATACCACACTGGGATGGGGACCTGAAAGAGACTTAGGTCTGGCCAGGACTGCTCACTTCCTCTCATTCAACAGATACTGACTGAGAACCCACCTGTGCCAGGCACTCTCAGTGCTAGAGAGTCAACAGCAAGACAAAATGAGAGTTTACGTTCTAGGAGGAAGGCCCGCAAGAGATCCAAGAGGATAGGTATAATGACACGTCATGGCAAACACTGTCAAGAACAGTCAGGAGGTAGAGATTGACCGGGTCCTGGGAGGCCTTTCTGGGGAGGTGTCCCTTGGGCAGAGTCCTAAAAGAATGAGTAACCCACACAAGTAGAGCCAAGGAAAGAGGGCCTGAAACACAGTGGACAGCAAGTGTGGCGGCCCAGAGGCCGTAGACAGCAAGCGTGGAGGCCCAGAGGCCGTGGACCGCAAGCGTGGAGGCCCAGAGGCTGTGCACACTGACCACAGGTGCAGGAGAGCCAGCAGGATGGGGGAGGAGCCATCTTCAGTCCCCTCAGCCACTCCAGCTGCTGAATAATGCTGTTACAGTTGTGAAGAAATTTTACCTACATGAGCTCTTCTACCCTTGAGATTGACAGGGCACATGACCTGCCCGTTTTATGAAAGAGGAAACTGACATGTCCATTTGATGAAGGAGGAAGAGTTCAGCTCCTCTTCTCAAGCCCAGGGCCTTGTCTCCACAGCAAACCCTGACCTGTCCACTCTTGGCTTGGCTGTCTATGAGCCTAGTGCAAATGGGGGGCAGTGTCACTGTCTCCTGACACCATTCAAAGAGCCATAGGGCAGTGGGCACCTAAGGGTGGAATTTAAGGACCAGCTGGCTCCTACTTGGTGCTGCAGTTAAGAGGAAAACACTTGAAATGTCCCTAATGGAGGCAGTTATTTGAATTTGTTCCCATTTTATGCCAGCTCCTAAGCCTCAGCCAGTTACTGATGTGTAAACACACACCTTTCCTACCAAGCACTGATCACAAAAGGAAAACATTCCTTCCCTGGGAGCCGCCGCTGGCACCACTATGCCCTGGTGAGTGCTGACTGCTTGTGCAGGGACTGTGGCCGTCTTGGTCTGTGCCATAAATTCTCATGCCAGTGCTAATTCCTGGGTCGTGGGCTGGTCTGAGCATGCACCTTGCTCCTGGCCCCTAGTGTTGCCAAACTGTGTGTCACAAGCCAAGGACCGGATTTGGGAGTTTGTGTGCAGTTGTTTGTTTTCTAGTTATTTCAGGTCTGAGTTACTTGGGTTGCATTTTTCTTGATCGGCCCCCACTGCCTTTCCAGTTCTGGAGCTGCTGTGACCCATTGCTTCCTTTCCTTCCTGCTTCTACAGACAGCTGCATTGTCAGAGCATAAATGAAACCAGGTTGTGCTGTGTTCACAGCGGCTTGCTCCAGAACCAAGAAGGGCATCAGGGGTCCATGAGGCGCCATCTGTGGCTGTGGAAAGCGTAGTTTTCCAGCAGAGAAACCAGGGTTCGATGGGTGACTACGGAAACCTAGGATTACTGTCCTCAGTCAGGAGTGGATGTGGGCAGAGACAGCACCTCTGGAGAGCAGTGGTGCTGGTTGCGGGGGGAGGCGAGCCTGACGGCCACAGCAGTCTTCACACGGGGCGGGCATCACCGTTGTGGGTGGGCTTACTGTGCTGCAGGCCGCGGGGCCCCACCTCCAGCCTCTGATTCATGGGCTGGGCGAGACCTGAAAATGTGTACCCCTGGAATTCCCAGGTGATGCTGGAGACCCACACTGTGAGCACCACTGATCCGGACAATTGAGGGGAATGGAAGGTTGCTTTTCCTGAGTGTGCAATCTCCTGAGCTCCCCTGCAAGGTGGAAAATCCCCAGTTACTCTAAAAAAGATGACCTTTCTTTCAGAAACTTACATTACTTTCACAGTGCTCTGGTGGATCTTTGAATCTTACATTCCAGAGGCTGCGTCAGGACTCCAGAGATCCAGATGGGGTCCAAGACACTCACTTTCTCTAAGGTTCAAAGATCACCAGTCTCCCGATGTGGACCAGGCTGACTGTGCCCCTCTCCCAGTCCCTGCAGGGAACAATGAGGAGGGATATGTGCCAGAGCAGGGACCACAGGCCCAGAGGGGCATGGAGACCTGCTGTTCTTTATTAAATAGTTTTGAGGGGGAATGGGGTCTTGCTATGTCGTCCAGGCTGGTCTCGAACTCCTGGGCTCAAGAGATCCTCCTGCTTCAGCTTCCCAAAGCACAGGGATTACAGGCATGAGGCATCACACCCAGCCAAGGCCATGGTGTTCTTGGCATCATCTACCCCAGCTCTGCTCTGCGTGCATGAATCAGGGGCATCACTGGGCGGGGATTCCAGACCTAGTTCTGCCCAGGGCTGGCCACTGAGTCCACTCAGCTCCTTGACTTCCTGACAATGCAACAGCTTTAAGAGAGAGAGGGGGAAGTGGGGCTGGGCCCAGTGACTCATGCCTATAATCCCAGCACTTTGGGAGGCCTAGGCAGGTGGATCACCCGAGGTCAGGAATTTGAGACCAGCCTGATCAACATGGTGAAACCCCCTCTCTACTAAAAATACAAAAATTAGCAGGCACCTGTAATATTACCCAGCTACTTAGGAGGCTGAGGCAGGATAATTGCTTGAACCCAGGAAGCACAGGTTACAGTAAGCCAAGATCGTGCCATTGCACTCCAGCCTGGGCGACAAGAGCAAAACTCCATCTCAGAAAAAAAAAAAAGTGGGAAGAATGTTTCCTCGATCCTTTGGCTTTTTGGGTTGTTTTCCTCAGATATTTTAAAAAGAATAGAAGGCATTTTTCAGAAACATTTCCAGCTTTATCTAGAATTTTTTTTTTTTTTTTTTTTTTTTTTTTTTTTTTTTTTTT